TTGCCCCTGCCATTTGGCGACCATATATCTCTAGATAGCCACTTAGTGTAGCAGAACGACACAGATTCTTAATTAGAGAAAGGAGAACAGAAAGGTATTCATATAAATAAAACGATGTATCAATAGGCGTACGAAGTAAAGTTTCTAATAAACGATTTAAAAATAGATAAGGATGACAAGGAAGCCACGATAAAGTATTTACAAATTCGACAGCTCTTAGCTAGGGCTCTTAGGACAAACATTTGATCAATAATCATGAGCATATTTCGAGTCTATATTTTAAGTCATGATCCAAAATGACATCAAAATTGCTTGTAAGTAATCAAAATGGCATCAGCTTATTCCACTATTCAGGATAATGATCTATGAAATAATTGAAATACAGGAGACTAATCGTTCTGCAAGTCAATCAATCTCAAAAATTAGGCTAGATAAAAGTAAACACAAATTATTCACAACATCTATAAATGTATGATAAAATGTGCTTAGGGTCAAAATCAATAGTGTAATCTATCCACCGCATGGCCATACTTCTGCATTTGCAACCGAAAAAGAGCCTTACAAATGTGAAAAGTTGCTCTTCGTTATCATACGAGAGAATATGATGATAATTAAAAGTATCGTTAGAATAAATGAAGGGGAGCTAGATTTTGCTTTAATATTAAGTGAATCAACCATGAGTCAAGATTGAGTATTCCGTCCGACTTCAAAACGTAAGGACAAGACCAGTGGTTGCCAATTTTGTCAAAGCAAACTGTCCTACAACCAAAAAACATGGACATGAGGCTGCTTTTTGCCAAAGGTTATAAAAGCAAGATTTTTAATGTAACAAACAATACCAAGAAAAAAAAAGCGCAAAAAGAAATAGGAACGAGATTTAGTTTATTAGGTAGGCCAACCAAGAAAAAAAAATCAGAATTTTAAACTAAAATGATGAAAGATTTTAATTATTAATAACCAAAGTATGTTCGCAATGTTAAAGGATTCCTCGAGTGAAATTACTAAATAAGAAGGTAAACGTGGCATACAGTTGTGCCTTGAAAATAATGCCTCATAAAACGATATACTCCAATGTAGTGACGGAGAGATGAAAATGAACTAGCTAAAAAGCTTCTGAGGAAACGCTACCCTTCAAATTAATTGGATTCAAAAAAGATTAACGGAAACTAAAATAAGCTTCCTTCTTCAGTAAAAGAGATAATTTATAATACGCAACAGGAGCATGTGGGTGAGATCAATGTTAACCAAAATGAATAATCCGTTTGTTTCTGCTTAAAATATTTAACCCTGGCATTAAGCCAGAGCCTTTCTGTCTTGAAAGGAATGCATTTCTGGAGGTTTCTTATTAAGCCAGTTGTAAAACTGGGTAGTAATAAGTTATCAAAGATAAGCAAACCAAGGTTCCATATAATTTTCTTGTTTATATGAAATACTATTTAAGCATTATGGTTTACAAAAGTAGGCAATATAACGTAATCGAGATATGGTTTTAAACAATCATAAAGAATCACAATAGATTCAAATGTTAGATTCCATTTGCAAACGATAAAAATATATTTTTAGTTACAAGATCTGTAAAAGAGCGAGATCCGACAAACTAAAAGCTACTCTAATCATATAAAAACAAATAAAGCTTTGGAATCATTATTTTATCATTTTCTATTTACTGGATAAAATCTATGTTATTATCTATTACATTTATCACCCTGGCAATTTTGATAATATCTCCATGAATAAAACCCAGTAAAAGTTTCGGCCTAGTTATAAAAGACGCAAAAAATCTTGACTCTTGATACGATAAAAAATTGTGAATTATCCTTCGAATAAGATTAAAGCAGAAAACAGACGCATAAAGCATTAGAAAATGGGTAAAAATGTAGTTTTTTAGGGTTTATGAATATCATACAATTGAGATAAACAAAATATGTTACGTTAAATCCATGTAAATGAAGATCTCATCTTCACTATGAAAGCAATAATTAATATTGCTATTTTATAACGTTTTTATTAACTTTTAGTAAGTATCTAAAGGATACAGAACCATGAAGATAAAGTGGAATATTCGATTGAAGTACATATCATACACTCATAAATATTATTTTTGGTAAAGAATAGTAAATTTTATTGCATTTAAAACTCATATTTCGGGAGATTTCCCATAGTTATCATAAGTACATACAAAATAAAAACGCTTACTTTGTGGCGATAAACCAAAGCAGGTACTACAAATCGTGTGCGACACCTGGCAAAACGAGCCTGAGAAATAATAGAATAAAGCATTTCTGCATCACAATCTGTCCAATGGACCCTGCATTTTTAGATGTAAAGAAAGACTAACTTAGAAACATCATGGTACTTAAATATAAGCAAAGACGGAGGATAGTGCCCACAAAGTGCTCCATTTTCGTTTTTAATAATCTGTAGCATGCCTATAATGGGACAATTAAAACGAACCTCGAACTCATAATCTTTGATAAAAAGTCTCTGGCAACGGTTATCGATAATTTGTATTTCCTATTCTTAAAACGTCGTAAGAATAAATTACATTCATATATTTTTTCCTTGTTGCTTCATTATACCTCTTAGAGAGCATTAAATTCAATAAAGAAGAAATAAAATTGTCATTTATAGAGCTCATAGCACATATAATAACTTATTCAAAAAAACGCGCCTTTTAAAACAAAATTTAATATAAAAAATATAGTTTTAATTAATAATTTTTTAAATTTGAATTTAAGATCAATAATTTATGTAAAAATACGTATTGGGTTACGATTTTAAAATTTTATGAAATTGATTTATTTATTTTAAACATGATTTTGAAGAATTTTTTACCGTTACTTTTTTTATTTGAGTTTTAATTTTTGTCCGCCTCTTATTGCCCCTTCTAAGACAGCTTCGTTCTCCCATGCTTCTCCCTCTCCCCTGATTCCTTTTTCTTTTCCTCACTCTCATTAACGTTGCCTTATGATGGCAGATAGCGCGTCTGAGGTTGATCTAGAGTCTGATGCAAGTTCTGTTGATGGATCTCTTAGCCTCAGAGAATCATCTGCCAAAAATGAGCAATTGCAGAGGAGAGTTGACTCACTTACCCAGGAGAATCGTGTACTTAAGAAAGAACTGGAAACAATGAAGCTTAAATTAAAGAATTTGCAAGAAGTCAATCAGCAGCTACGCAGGGACAGTGTTAGCATTGTACGTATAGGTTAATTCTTTATTTCTTTAGCAAGCCAAAGCTGAGCAAGAGGAAGAGTTTATAAGCAATACCCTACTTAAAAAGATAACTGAATTGAAAAAGGAAAAGGAGTCTCTCGCCTTAAATTATGAACAGGAGGAGGAATGTCTTACAAATGAGCTTTCCAGGAAATTTACTCAATTACGGCAGGAGAAGGTTGCGCTGGAGAAAACTCTGGCTCGCGAGCAAGAAAATCAGGTAATAGAAGTTCGCCTGTTTGTGTCACCTATTTGAACTTTACCTAAAACACTGTACTTTCTTAGAGTATTTTTATTCCTCTAGTTTCGTCCATGGCTGCGCCTATTTGGTTCAATTGGCCCTTGCAGCTTCTCTACCTAATTTAGTTATGCTTACCTTTTAGGTCAACAAGCTCAAAAGACGAATAGAGAAGCTAGAAGGAGACATGAATAACAAGCAAGATTGTCTTGAGCGACTGCGATGGGAGAAGATTGAATTGGAAAATGCACTCGAGCAAGAGCAGGAAGCATTGGTTAATAGACTCTGGAAGAAAATGGAGAAGCTAGAGACAGAAAAGCGCATGCTGCAAGTAATTTGATAAGCTTGGCATGCATTATTTTGTTTTTATATTTCTTATCTTAATTTTATCTACTTCCTAGGAAAAATTAGAATCGGCTAGTGCTCCTCTCTCTGGCAGCTCTAGTGCTTTAAATTTGTCAAATGTTTCGCACCAAGATGCGCCTACTCAGGCTTCTTGCATAGTCAGCTCGCAGTTTTCAAGGGCTGCTCCTTCCGGCTCCATTTCTGGTGGTGATCATCCTGTTTACATTTCTCTCACCTCCGGCCAAGCTAGTCCTACTTCTCCTGGAACTTCCTGTCAAAATTCTGTCTCCAATACAACTCCTGTCCGTCCTACCAGCAGTGGTCCAGGTAGTCAGGGCGGTTCTTTACGGCGGCATCATCATAGCCATGGCCAGCAACAATTTCCCCAACAATCTCAATCAGGAACAGTCTCTTCGAATAGACTTTCCTTGCTAATCAATCCCGTGAGCACCTCGGGTAAATCTTGATCATAATATTTATATTTCCACAATGGCCGATCAATTTAACTTCAAAAGTATTTTAATAACCCTCAATGGATCTTCGCTATTTCTCCCTTAGATGGGTCTGGCTATTCGGTTGCAATTCCTTCGGGCCCAGTTTCTGCACTTAGCAATGTCACTACTTCGCGTTCTATGACTCATTCTTCCATCCCTTTAGATGCTGGTGGGCCTAACGCTGAAGTTGCTGAGACAATGTCATTGCGCTCTGCTTCCTGTAAAATCGGGGCTATCTCTGCTCCGCCTCAGAGTCCAATGGAGTTAGATACTGCAGGTTAGCTTTGTTTTGTGAAGAGATATTCTTTTTTGTGCTGTTTTTTACTTTTTCGTTTTTAGACACTGGTCTCTGTGGATCCTCACATACAGGCATCAATTCACAATATTCAAATATTTCTTTGATACCACCATCATCCATATGCCAACCTATGTCTTCCTCTTCTACACCCCACGGATTCTGTCACTCAAATGCGATTATTCAACCC